AAAATTTGATGTGCTCATGTAATTGCAATGTAGTTCACTGCCCTGCTTTACCTCCGGTGATGGGAGTTTGAGACTTCGCAGAGGAGGAGAAGGGAAAAAGAGAAGAGAGACAGACTGACAGACACAGAAGCCCACAGTATGGAAAAATAAATGATACCACTGATGGGCTTTTCTGTCAGTGTATATGAGTTATTGAATGCTTAAGCAGAAGTATTACATGCTTTTTCTAACCCTTATCCCCATAAAACTCAACAACTAAAAAGATAACCTGCATGTAGTTTATTAGTGGTCTTACATGCATTCATCTTTTTTTTCCTTTTCTACTTTGTCTTTAAAAAATGTCTCTAACAGAAATACAAATCAGATTACCTCCAGTGGTGTAGATTTTCATTTCTCAGTAGGTAGATGGAAGAAAAAGATTAATAATTCACTTACACTTCTGTGAGTCCAAGATTTTTTGGAAGCGACTTGTGTTTTGGGAAATGTGAACAATTGGAGCAGGCATCTTATGTTCTGGCATCTGGATTGGAAGTCTTGAGCACCCCTTGTCCAAAATGCAGCCCCCTTAAGGTATCTTGAAAGAAACATGATGCTAATTGAGACCTCTGAAACAACTCGTGGCTTTTGAAAAACCCAGTGGTTGGTTTTAGTAGTTCTGGACTACAGATGATTACTTTCAGGTCTTGCTTACAGACTTTGGGCATGAATTGTAGAGTTCCTGAGTGACATCGGTGCCATCCTGGTGCACATTTCTAAGCAGGCATGGCTGTATCAGTTGGGCAAGACCAGGCGATGCCACTGCCCACCCTTCCTGCTGAGGTTACCCAAAGAAGTGGTAAATGCTCCATCCCTGGCAATGTTCAAGGTTGAGTTAAACAGAATCTTGGGTGACATGATCTAGAGTGAGGCGTCCCTGCCCATGGCAGGGGGTTTGAACTTGATGATCTTAAGGTCCTTTCCAACCCAAGCCATTTTGTTGATTCTGTGGTGGCCTTCCGGATAGAAAGCAGTGTGAGCTTGGTGGGGCCATCAAGAGGGAGTATGGCTGCTGGTCAAGGGAGAAGAATCCCATGTGGTTTGAGGGGACACTATACTACAGAGACTCTTCACACATCCTGTATTCAGGAGTTACTTATGAACAAAATGCATTAAAAACTTCGGGAAGGAGGGCAGGAATTGAGGTCTCCCCTTCCCAACAGAGTGCACCATGCTAGCAATGTGGTGAGCTTTGATTTCTTTTTCTTCTTTTTGGCCCACAACATCAAGTTTATTGTCAAGCAGCCTGAATTATTTCTGAAAGGCAGAAGAGGACACCTTCTGTTCTTTTCAGATCCTTCTGATCTTTTCAGATCAGAAAAATTGTCCAGGTTGCCCTGTGATGGCATCTTGCGTGGGTTGAACCCAGCCAGGTCATTTTGCTTTATGAAGAGCTCTCCAGAAACAGTTGGAGAGAATTATTTGAAGGAAGCTATCAGCTATTTAAGAAGACACCCTAGTGGCTGAATCATTGTCACCATTTCTGAGTACTTTGAAGGAAGCTATCAGCTATTTAAGAAGACACCCTAGTGGCTGAATCATTGTCACCATTTCTGAGTACTCCCCATAGCTGTTCTGGCTATTCCTCTGATCCCTCACAATGTCCTTTTCATTGCAGTTGGAGATGATTGAAGTTTGGAGGTAGAGGGAATGAAGTGTAGGTTGCCAGGCTCCCTAGGAAAATCCAAGTACCTCGGACTCAACCTTTGCTGCTGAGCATGGGGCAGACAAAAGATACTAAAGAAATATAGTTTCCTCCTTAGCACATCTGTCCATCTGTGCCTTAAGGCATCTGCTGCTGGTGTCACTGTTTTCCAGTAAGATCCACTACTGAAGATGCCAGTCTCCTCTGCTATACCCTACAAGTTTGCGTTGCTTGCAGGGTGGACTGAATCTGGCAGTGCCTGGCTTAGCATCCTCCTTCTGAAGGCTCAGAATCGTGTTAAAGCAGATGTAGATAAGGACATAAATCTGTCCTTTTGATGGAAGATGCTTTTATTTATATAAAGAGGGGGATAGCAAGTATACTTAATGTTTATGGATATGCACTGTACTGGTGTAAGGCACATCACTGCAGGCCAGTGAAACTAGAAGCTGTATTTGTTACATCAGAGCTGATTTTGTCCTTTAGTTAGAAAGGTATTTTGCCGTTGAAGAGACATCATCACTTCTTGTGTTGCGGTAGAAAATTCGGAAGAGGGATTCTTGACCAGAAGTACCCTTTTGGCACCGCAGTGCTTTCCCGTCTTTGGAGGGACTGGGTGGAGAATATTGCCGAACTCCAGTAAATGTAAGTGCACTGCATTAAGAGCAGGTTGTATATACACATCTGGGGGCTCCTACAGTCTGTTCCCTGCTTGGGACCAAAGGTTCTTCTTCAGGATCCAAGTTCTTGAGCATCCTTCAGCATCCAAACTCCAGAGTCTCTAGTCAGTGGCATCGTAACAGCCTCCTGCTGAGATAAAAATACATGCAAATCACAACAGTTCCTTCGTGTCCCCCCTGAACTGTCTGGGAGGGATCTCCTGTGCTCTTGCTTTGGATAGGTTAAAGAATTAAATGTAGGTACAGGTGCTCATATAACTATAGTCACAGAGCAGTGATGGACAGGATCTGAGCCACGGTCTTAAGTCAGTCATGTCTTTTGACTGAATTTTGGTGTTTTACCATGTAGGATCTGAAGACTCTTACCAGACTTTTGAACCTGGACTTGCAAAGCTAGCTATTGTTGAACATGCTGAAACACCTAGAAAGGAAAAAAAAACGTCAACCTGTATTTGCAAGGGTGCTGTGTGCTTGGAAGACCCGATGAAATCTTATTTCTAGCTTTATCATTATTTTATGACTAAACTGATTCAGCTCAAAGGGTGAAGATGTCCTAGGCATTAACCACTCACAGAGAAATAAAATACTTCATCCAAATTGTTTCCATGTTGTGGATTTGATAGCATCTTCAGGATGGTGCCGTCTAGTGTTTGAAGTGTACGTGATGAACTCACAGTGTATATATAGAAGCAAAAAATGTGGGGGTATGGTAAGGAGGCAGTTTCAGCCTCATGTATGACATTGTAATTGTATGTTTTTTAATGAACAGACCACAGTAGTTACACTTAGTAATGTTTGTTCACTAAAAAGGAAAAGGGGTGTTAAATCATTATGTTCTGTGATGAATGGCTTGTACACTGAAGAATAAATTGAACAAACTGGCACAGAGCTCAGTGAACATGAAATCGGCTATTAGAAGAAAGCTTGTGAACAAATTCTGGGCCTGATATGCATCTTTTGATTAATGTCCTATTAATCATCCATAGTGGCTACCTTAGCTAAGTCGTGCTGTAATCATTCATGGTTGCTTACAGGAACACTACCAAACACTATAGAGCTGCAATAACTGAATATTATTACTGATTTCTCCCTAACTCTTGCTGTGAACAATTACTGTTTTCACTACATTTCTGCCTCCCTTTATTAAAAAGAATACAATGCAAAATGAAAAGAGAGTTCCTCAAAGACCAGTAAAATTCTCCCAGGGTATTCTTAATGATATTCTGTCCTAAATGGGCAAACTATTGTCATGCAGAGTTCTCACCAGGAATATTAGTAATGTAATCACATTGAAGCTGTCTCCTTATGGATTGTAGTCAAACAGACAAAAATGTATAGTCATATTAATGAACACAGAATTCCTGTAGAATTACTCCTTTAAATGGTTGAAATTATTTTAGCTCTTTTTATCACAGTATTTTCGGTTAATGCACTTAACAGCAACAGCAATTAAGGCTTCAGACTGTAAATTTGGATTAAATCCACACTTTTGACATCAGAAGAAGCCTTGATTATGAAAAGGTATTATGCTCGCACCCCTTTCTTTTAAGACCTAATGTTTTAAATCTGTATGGCTCTTTTCAACTGTGTTTGGTTGATGTTTTTTTAAAGAAAAAAAATAATGAATACACTTTTTCTTCCTTTTTTTTCCTTTTATGACTGTAAGTTTTTGGCAAATGTTTACAGTAGAACCTCATATTCCTGTGTGTGAAGATGTAGTTCCACACCATTTATTTCACAAGTGTGACACAAAGAATCTCTGGCAATACCCACAGAATAGGTCCTTAGATGGCAGTGTAATTTCTTCCAAAGTCACTGTAGTCTGGGAAATACGGTGAAGTAATGAAGTGATGACAGGTATTAACATGCATAATGGGCTTTAATAGACATTTAATGTTGTTTAACTGGAAGAAGGAGAAGTGCTTTCCCATTGGAATATTTCTACATTGAAACTCATTGATCACCAATTTCAGAGGGGAAAGGTTAATCCATCAGTTTCTGTAACCAAACAGCACTGATGGAAATTCTTTAGGTGACATTCTGGATGAACTGAGCTTTCCATCTTTGCAAACAAATGAGTGATATGACAAGCATGGTGTTCAGAACACATTTAACCAATTGATTTTCTCTCCTCTTGTAATAAGATCTAGAGACATATGAAAGAGTGTAGCATGAGCCAAGATTAAAGGAACTGCTTCCTACAGGCGAACATAGGGGAACTGCTTTATCAATAAAAGTACTATAAAGCATGTAGGCGCCCATTCTTTTTCTTTATATGAAGTTTGTTATTGCAATAAATAGCTGTTATTGAACTGCTTGCCTTTTATTTCAGTTTTTCGGAATTTTATTTCAGTTGGCTTTCTGTGGTTTCCTGGTAAATGTTAGGAAAAGATGTTATGTTTTGTTATGATAGCATTTTTGCCCTCACTAGTAAATCCAGGCCAACTCTGGATTTAAACCCAGGATTTATCATCTTTCGGGGCACAAAGAAGGGTATGAGGTGGGAGGAAAGGAGGAACGTGACTTCAGTTAATGTAAATATGTCCAATGTATTTGAAAGGTTTAATCTATATGGTTCTATACTGTTATAACCCTCATCTTTTTCCTCCGTCTTCCCTTTTTTTTTCTCCCAAATTCAGCCCTGCTTTGAGTTTCACATACCCTCCTACACCGGTATCCCTCCAGCAAATGCATCAGCAAATTATAAGTCGTCAGCAAACCCTAGGTTCAGCCTTTGGACACAGCCCTCCACTCATCCATCCTGCTCCAACCTTTCCTACCCAGAGACCTATCCCTGGCATCCCCAGTGTCCTGAACCCTGTCCAGGTCAGCTCTGGACCTTCTGAGTCCACACAGGTGAGAGACAACAAAAGAAACCTTTGCACCCCATTAATTTAAAAATGAAGTAAATGAAATAAATGGCATTGCCTCCATGGCAATTAATCACCACTGTCACTGAGACCCTTTGATAAGAGTTTTCTTACAGCTATATCATTTGGAGTCCCTTAATTATAAATCACAGAAGTGTATGCATGGTTCCTGATTGGTAGCATGGTTCTTGGTCCTCATAAATATTGCAGTGTGATGCAGCAGCTTCTCATTCCAAAACTGTCTCTTATGGCTCTTGGACAGGAACTTAATAAAGGTGGGGAGTAAGAAAAAGGGGAAAACCATATCAGAACACTAACATTTTAAAGATTAGCAGCTTCACCTCAGGTTGACACAGGGTTGTATTCTGCCCTCCTGACACACATGTGAGTAACTTAGAGTAACTCGGTCTGTGGGCAATAGAGGAACTCAAAGCTAGTGCAGAAGTTTTAAAGCTTTTTGTCTGATTTATGCAAAATTGGACTTAATGACTTTGAGTTAGTAATTTCAATAAACCAAGATGTATTCTCAAAAGCTGGGGATGTGAAGCAGTGCATCAGGCCCCTGATGTGGAGTTTATCACGGTTCGTGGCTTGCCTGTTATTAACCAGTGCTGTTTGTTTCCAGATGACTTGGGATAGGTTATTTATCAGTCTTTGAGCTGTTTATCTCCTGGCTAGCTTTTACAAATGTAGAAGCAGAACATGCTGCTGTAGGAAGCGTATTGATTTTTTTGTGGGGTCCATGCAAGTTCAGATATCTCTAAAAGATCTCTGGATTCCTACAAGATCCATTTACAGGTGTAGATAATGGTGTTCAGTCTAGCACAGCAAGAGAAAAACAAGATTCTGGCCTGTTTCTGTCAGCAGTAGTTTTGCTGTTGACTGGGGAGAGTCCAGGACTTCATCTGGGATTTTTTGGCTGAGTCTCACAGTATTCAGTTTTGTTTCCTATCCCACCATTATAATGGGAAACACAGTGAAAGAGCTGAGCTCTTGTGTGCAGATGTTAAGTGCAAAACCTTTCCTCCAAGTGTGAAAAAATAAATCGTGTTCATTTGATTTGAGCACACAGTGATTTCACTCTTCAGAACTACTTTTCTTAAGTCGTCATCACGTAGAAAATCAAGTTCTTCCTACCCCTCTCTGGCCTGACAAAACCAGCATTGGTTTGGAGCAAGGAATTACCGCTTTCTGTTCCCTCCCTGCTCCATTACAAGGTTGAGTGATGCAGCTTTTCCACAAGTTAATGCTATGTAATTGAAGCACAATGTAATTGCATATCCAGTATAATTAACAGTGTAGCTTCTCCAAATAAAGTTGCTGAGCAGATGCTGCATATCTTTTGTTTGGAGCTACATATTTATCACAGTCTAATTTTGTCTTTTGGGGGAAAAAAAAACCCAAAACAACCAAACAACTGCCTGCAGCAGAATAAACCCACAAGTGAATCTGCAGTGAGCAGCACTGGAGATCCCATGCACAACAAGCGCTCCAAGATAAAGCCCGACGAGGACCTCCCCAGCCCAGGAGCAGGAAGTGTGCAGGTATGGCCATCACATTACAGTCATAAGCCTTTCATCTCACTGTCAGAGGGAAAATGCACCTTGCTTGTGGCACATGTTCCTGCACTAGTATGGCCCTTCATACGCACACACCCCAGCTTAGGGTAGCAAGGGTTAAATGTGAGCAGTGAAAGGCTGCTGGGGTGCAAAGTGTTGCAGAATAAGGGCAGAGAGGAAAGAGGCTGATGGAGAAGTGCCTCTGATCAGTCTCAACCCTCTTCCGGGGAAAAGAGACATTCGGGTCTTTATTGAGGATATTTTCTGTTCAGCAAAAATACCTATTCTGCCTTGACTTTTACCAGGTTTTAACACTGTGCTGTGCTGAAGCCTCAGTGTCAGGCTCCAGTCTCATTTGCTATACTTTCTATACTGGTTAATGCCACTGGTTTTAGTAGAGTGCCTTCTGATTTACAGTGGACTCGGGGGAGATGAGAATCAGAGCCTCAGTCCTGTGAGTGAATAAATGAAAACAAAGCAGAGATCTGCCTAAATCCTTCAGCAGGCTTGAAATGGAAAAATAGTATGAGTGCATAATCTGAACCAAATGCTGATGCTAACATCTGACTCTTGCCCTCAGCAAGTAACAAGCTGGGGAGAATGAGGCACCTTGAGGAACTAAAGGTGGAAAGTCAAAGCCAAATTCAATGCTTGCTTTCCCCACTCACCCCTTTCATGTACATATTGTGAGCAAGAACAGACTAACAAGTAGCCTGAAAGTTACTGGTCTGCTCTTGGAAAGGTTTTAGTGTGCAAAACTGTCACTGTGGATTAGCTGTGGATTACTGGTGGTCTGGTTTGTGCCCAACCCTAGTACTAAAGTCAAATTCCAATTAATTCAGCTATAATGAATAGTGGCTTTTTCATCAGTGGCACCACTGAATAGTAACGGACAAGTGTACAGTAACAAGCTGCTTAAGTATAGGGAGGGGGAAGCTAAACCTTTATGATTTAAATTAATTGAAATGTAAAGGAATTATTTCTTTTAGAAATTCTCTGTAGTGAGTACTTCAGGGGAGCAAAAATTGATTTTACACGTGTAGTCTGCAAATGGCTACTGCCTTACCAGGCCTGTTTTGGGCTTAGAATGGACTAACTATGAACCAGAGTAAAATAATCCCCCTGTCCCCCATCATCTTTCTTCTAATGCTGAAGTAATTCACTTTTCTTCCTTTTCAGTTTCAGAATATCCTCTTTCCTCACCCCTGTTTTTTTAACTCTCTCCAGGAACAGCCAGAAGGAATGACCCTGGTAAAAGAGGAAGGGGACAAAGATGAAAGCAAACAGGAGCCTGAAGTGGTCTACGAGACAAACTGCCACTGGGAAGGCTGTTCCCGGGAGTTTGACACGCAGGAACAGCTAGTGCATGTAAGTTAATGGTATTCAGGAACTGGGTTTTAAAACTACGTGACCTTTTTCATGAGGGTCGGGTTCTCTGACCCTGTGCTGAGTCAAGTTTCTTAGCTAACAGCGTTGCAAACTGGAGAGGGGTTTATGAGTTTCTGGGAATAAAGAAAACTCAGAGCCACAGTGCTTGACCTGTGCAGTCAGCTAAAGCTTAGTGTAAAATTCAATAAAGTCTTCAACAGAGATTGTAATGGCTCTGATCCTGTAAGCCAGCAAACGCTATTTTGAGTTAGAGACTTTGATAGTTATTGAGTAATAGTAAGCTGGACATGAATGATTATTAACCTTTAGCCAAGTTTGATTTTTTTCTTCCCTCCTCAAAGGGAATGTAACAGTAGAAATGGGTGAGGGGAATTCTTCCCCTTCCCTAAGGGGAGAGTTTGGTATCAATTTACTGTTGTGTGTAAACCAAAGGGGATTATTTGGCTAAATACATGGAGACTGAGTTATTTCAGTCTTTTTAGCAACAGCAAACTGTATGGTCTTTTTTACGCTAAACCAAATTATTAGTTGTATCTGCCTTTTTATTCCTTTCTGCCCCCTCTCTTAAATTATTTTTACTGACTTGTAGTGTTGTAAGCTAGAAAAGGAACAATCAAAAGCTAGACCTGGCAGGTACGGTCCCCTCCACATTTCCAACCTCCTTAGCTACCTCTTTTAATTACTGGTATCATAGAATATATCAAATACTCTGAAAAAAAAAGGAATTACTAGCACAGATTAGAGAGGAGCATCTTCAGCAAATATCAGTGCGTCAGAATTGTATGTATTGTAGAAAACTGTTCAGTAATTTCCTGAGATCATGCAAAACATATTGCAAAATGTGGCTGGTGCTGCTGAAATAGATTGTTGAAAAATGTGCCTTTCCACACAAAATAAATTAACACACACACACCCCCCCCCCATATATTTCCAAACCCTATGAAAAGTGGCAAACTGATGCTGCAAAGCTGACTTTAGTAAAGCAATGCCAGCTTTCGCTTGCTGGAATGGGAGAGCCACTTGGTATTGCAGTTATTCATCTAGATGTGGTTTTAGTTCCTTGTTATTATTAGGTAATAGTAGTAACAGTAACAACAATAATAATAATAAATGAAAGACTATAAAAAAAGTAATGGCACAAATGTGGCATTTTAAAAGAATCCTTTGCACATATTTTACGCAAATAATTCCCTAACATTTTAATAGGCAAATATGAAGTGAGGAGAGACTCTTTCGGTGTCACAACATCTTTTTGGGAAAAAAATGCAATAAGAATGGCTGCTGCAAAGGCTTGAACACATAAGATCAAGTGTTTGCCCTGCTATTGATGCCATGCGAACAGACCAACTGACATCATCTGGGACTCTGCACAGGCACAGTCTTGGTGTCTGCTAATAGTTGTAGGGCTGAAGCTTTATGGTGCCTGGCAAACCTTTCTCAATGTTCAGAAATGATCTGTGATGGTGATAAATAATTCACACCAAAATATATGAAATAAAAGAGAACTCCAGAATAATGGTGTCCTTGGTAATGAAAAAAAAGGAAGAGGATTTTGTGATGTTTCACATTAAAAATATGATTGAATTCCACTGTGCTTGTTAGCTAATAGCTAGTGTTTTGTAGCTTAAAGTGACTTAAATTGACAGTGTGATAGTTTGGTTGGTTTTAGGGGGTTTTAAATGCGTTTGTTGTTTCTGGTGTGATTTTATAGCAAATCTGACTATTATAAGGGTCAGCAGCAAGACTCCTGAAAAAAAAGTCTATTTCTTATATTTCTGAACAACGGCAACATCTGAAATGGGTTTCTCAAGACATAAAAAAGCGGATATAAAAAACATTTCTGTGATCCAAGGAGCTCTTTTTGGCAGGGCTCAGGGTTCAGATATGTTATGATGGCATTTAAGATTACAAGGTGCAAGTTCTGACTCGATACCCTGAAGACAATGAATTCATCATTGCAACCATCACATTCAAGTAGCACAAATCACTCTGTAAGAGCCAGTGTGACTCGGTGATGGGGCTGTGGTCTGTGATTTCTTTTGCTGTTCCGACAGAGCCCTGCTGTGGGGACTTGAGCAAGTTATTTCTGTCCAGAATTGCAAAGGGCTTTAGACATCGAACTCTGTTTGAGAGTCTGGCCCTTCACGCCAGTCTGTCTCTCCCACATTTTGTCTGCCCTTGATTGCCACAGCCCTCTGATGGACACCTGCAGCAAGTAGGTAAAAGAAGCCCAGATCTTGGTAGGGCTTCACAGGAGGGCATTCTGGGCTTGCTTAGGTGTGACTCCAGCAGAAAGCAGTCATTCCCTAGGTAGCAGTTTGGTATTTGAAAATCTCCCCACTGATGTGGCTTGTGTATGCCTCCTACCCAAATACAGGTGGGTAAATCCGAGTAGACGCAAATGCTGTAACTGTGCTTACCTCAGTGTCTTTTGTACTGGGTGGGTTCCTGACTTGCTGTGTACATATGTGCATCTGCACTAGGCACAGAGTGTGTGCCTCAGTGGCATGAGTACGTCCTTTACTCAGTAATAGGTACACTGCAGTAGCAGCTGAAAGCCTTGCCAAGCCCAAAGCCCCATGGTGCTAGGTGCTGCTCGTATCAGGACAGAAAAAGCCCTGCTATTGGCATGAGGTCTTCACCCTGCAGCTTCAGAGCCATGTACATCAGGCTGTTCAAGGCTGTCTGGAGGCACTTGAGCTCAGTTGTGTACAGGTAGGATGCTGTTAACCTTCAAGCCTTGCAGTAGAGCTCTGCCATATTTCCTGTCCTGGCTATGCACACTGCTGCTCAGGTGATTCCCAACCTGCAACCATGCTCAGCAGAGCCTCAGTTGCTGCAGCCAGGCTTGAACGGGCTTTTGAGGTAAGATGCTGGATTGCTGTCTGGGATATCAAAAGTAAAGATAACTGTCCAGTTCTGTTAATTCTGCCATGGTGTAGTTATCATCAAGGCAAGGGCAACTGCATAGATAAAGGCGATAAAGGCAGTAAAGGTTTAAATTGCCCTAGCAAGACAGATCCAGATAACATCTGCCTACTTTCCTGTTTTCTCTGTCACTCGGAAAGGATGATCAGCATGAGCAGAGAGCTACAGTCACATGCTCAGAAGTTGGGTGGGTGTTACAGCACGACACATGTGATACTACATCATATTGTATACACATCCCTGCTTGCCCATGCTGTGGGCAGTAAAGTGAGCTGTACAGTGAAAGTAAGAGTTAGGGGCTATGTAGACCATCCCAATGTATTGCAAGAAACTCCTTCCCTGTAACCCACTTAATTGATGTGGTGTGTAGAAGGGAAAATATTTGAGTTGGAAGTATTTGGAGCATGCTTGCGCCTGTACAACTCTCTAAACCAGTTCCTTGGGCTTTGGAAGTTCAGCTGGGAAGAGGAAATTTGTAAAATACCAAGTTTCAGAAAAAAAGACCTAAAAAAGCATCTTTGTACCTCCTGGTAAGGCTAAATTTTCAGGATCTACAGTGGCCAGCAGTAAGTCTCTTAATGAATGTGGGGTTGTTTTTTTTGTTTTTCAGGGGAATAAAACTACTGTTTGTAGCCATGAATTATAGTAGAATATCAGACCCAAAATATCTAATGGCACAGAACAGACTTTTGTCTAAGCCTTGCATCCCAAAGGACTGGGATTTTAGAGGAATTGCAGCATTTAGGGTAAAGGTGGAAGGATGTTTCTAGCTGTTTTGTTTCCTAAAGTGTTAGGTACCTCAGCATGAATTCTATTTGTGCCAGGTTGAGCAGAGTGAATCAGGTTTTAGCAATATCTGCATTACAAAATGATGTGTGATACAGCAGTATGAAATGGTAAATATGAACATCATCTGTGCCTGAATATGTGGTATAGCTTTAGAGAAGAAATTACAATCTTGAGCGCAATAGTCAGCATGTGATGGCATTTTTCTGCATTACTTTTGGTAGCAAAGTCCTCCTGTTGTTAGTGTAAATATGAGCGCTAGTGAAAATGTGCTTAGGCCCCAAGAGACAATGTTTTCTGACTGAATTTATGAACAGAACTAAGGCTACTATGAATAACTGAAAAGCGACATAAAGGAATCGCTATTGACCCACCCAGAAGGGTTTGACACCAAAATGATTTTGGTGCCAGAACTCTTCTTTTCAAGCAATATGTGCTTAGAATTCAGCATGGTTAAATTTTCATGATACATATACCAAAAGGCAAGGTATTAAAGCATTCAGACACTCTGCCTTATTTATAGCACCTATCCATCCTTTCTCCCCTGCCCCCCTTCTCTTACAGTTAATAGAAAGATTCATGATTCTTCATGGTTGTCTATCTAGCGTCTGACAGTGCCGACTGCCCTGCTAAAGCAAGTCACTATCTATAATTGATATCCTTCTATGGAATAGGGTACCGGCTGCAATTGAAGGGTTTTGCTGAAAGCTCTTAAATCCTGACAAGTTCTGCCCTTGTTCTGGTTGTCGCTGAGCTGCACTGCTGGGATCCCAGGGCTATTTGAAGTTGGTGCAAAAGGGCCGTTGTGTGTTGCACATTAGCAAATCAAAAAGTTGGAGAGCCACATTAGAGCCACCACCGAGTTCTCCTGCCAGGTAGTCTTATTTGCACTCCTGAAAAGATTGCTTACATTACTGTTTGAACATGTGGGTTACAGGTTTCTTTCTTTCCCTTCTTCTTAAAAGGGAAGAAACCCTCAGTTTGCTGCTGGGGTCTTTATCATTCAGCTGTTTAATTAATTTCTTTGCTCAGTGAGATATTATAATTGGGCTTAGCTGAGCTCCAGTTTGTTTTAAATATGTGATAAATGCACTTGAGCGCCCAGAAGCTAATAAGATATTGTATATTTTTATAAATCTGCTTTTTGTTGCAGTTTGTCTTGTTTTTTTTTTCCCTCAGAAATCAGTTTAAGAAGAAAATCTTGCAGAAGGGGTAGACACTAAAGATAAAAGTTTGTTTAAGAAAATTATCCTTCAAGGAAATGA